GTCGGTTCCGACTCATAGTAACCCTGTATAGGGTTTCCAAGGAGAGACTGGTGAGCTTGAACTGCTGACCTTGTGGCTCAAACAGTCTAGCGCATTAACCCACAGCACCACTCCAGGTCTCCCTGGGCAAATGCTGCCCCGTGATCTCATATGTATGGACGTTTTAGAGAGTGTGAGGCTTGTTGGTGCTATCGCTCACCTATAAGCTGTATCACTCACCTATAAGCTATATTGCTCACCTATATATAGTTTATAGTACTATTGTCTGAGCCACTGTTGTTATGGTGCCATTGAGTAAGTTCTGACTCATAGCAACATTGTATAGGGTTTCTGAGGAGCAGCTAGTGAATTTGAACTGCTGACCTCGTGGGTCAAACCAACCTTGAGGTCAAGTGTTGCCCTATGATGCTATACCCCATGGGGTGGCTCAAAGGGTTCCTAAGGGCCATAGTCTTGCGGGTTCCAGCAGTCTCTATCAAGTCAGTAAGACTGGTCTTTTCTTACTAGCTTGAGTTTTATTCCATATATTTCTTCCATTCTATCCATTGAGATCCTTTTCAGAGTGGTTACCAGTGGCATCCATGCACCATCTAGTTCTTCAGATCATCGGGTCTTTATTTTGTTCCTAGACAGTGTGAGGCCCTGTGAGTTTTAGCATCTGTAACTGAACCTGCCCTGTTGTCACTTACATTCTAGACCTCAAGGACTGATCATTAATGAAGAAGAATAATCTGGAGAGAAGGCATGAAAACTCTGCTATCAGTGAAATCCACAGTGTCCTAAAATCAGAAACAATCCCTTAATGTTTACTATTGGCAGCTATCTGCAACAAAGCCTGAAATTTTTTTGGACATTCAAGAAAATTATAATTAAGATGGAAGCAAGACTCACATTTATAAAAAGTTTAAAATCATGTTGTAAGGATTTAAGAGTTCTAATTACAATTCACACATGAGAAGATGCTCACACTCAGCCATTAGCTAGTTGCCATCAACTCACGGTGACTTTCTGTACCTTACAGGATTGTCAATGACTGGTTTTTCAGAAGTAGATCCCCCGGACTTCTTCCCAAAATACCTCTAGGTGGTCTTGGACCTCCAACCTTTTGGTTATCAACTGACCAAGCTAACAGTTTGCACCACCCAGGGACTCCAGTTAGCCATTGCTGTTGTGTGCCACTGTGTTGAGTTCAACTCAGAGTGACTACTGAACACAGTAGAACTGCTCCATAGGGTTCACGACATTATAATCCTTACAAGAGCGGAATGTCGGGTCCTACCCAGGGCTTTAAATCACTTCATTCCAGTTTGACCCTCTGCTGAGAATTTGCATTCCCAGCCCAGAAACAGTGAATTAGAATCTACATTTTAACAAGATTCCCAGATGATTCTTTTGTATTCACAGAAGTGTACAACCGTCATCACAATCAATTTTAGAACTATTCTTATCATCTCTCTCCCCACCCCCAAAAGACCATTCCCTTTTCCTCTACACCCATCACCCTTCCGAGCTACTTTCTGTCTCTATAGATTGCCTACTCTGGACATTTTGTATAAATGTAATTATACAATCATTGGTGTGGCACTGTAGGATCAACACTGGACTGCGAACCACAAGGTAGGCTTATCAAACCCACCAGCTGCTCCTCAGAAACCCTATATAGGGTTTTATATAAAACGTCCAGAATATATTAAAACTGTTGTACATATTATTCAAGAGGTGAACTGGATAACAAGTGAATTACATCTCAATAATGTTATTTAAAAATCTCTCATTTTATCCTTTAAAATGTACATGTAGAGCCCTGTACATTGTGCTGTAGGATAAAACTGCAAAGTCGGCAGTTCAAACCCAACAGTTGCTCTTGGAAATCCTAACATAGGATCCCTGAGTTGGAACTAAGTTAATCTTACAAGTTACTCAGGTTTTAAAATATAAGTGATAAATCCTAACCGTTTATAAAGGAAATTCTGCTACAAATGCATGACCCCTTTTCTGTATGACTAAATTAGAAAACAAAATAGACTAAAGAGAAGTTTAGCTCTTTTCTGACATTCACTAATGCCTTAGGGGGGCTCCTGGTGTGGCACTATAGGATCAGCACTGAACTGCGAACCACAAGATGTGCAGTTCAAACTCACCAGCTGCTCCTCGGAAACCCTACACAGGGTTGCTATGAGTCAGAATTGACTCAATGGTACTTAACAACAATGCCTTAAGGAACTATAATGAGAGTTGTTGTTGTTAAGTGCTGTGTCAAGTCGATTCCGACCCATAGCGACCCTGTATAGGGTTTCCAAGGAGCAGCTGGTGAGCTTGAATAATGAGAGTAAGTTTAAAAAAATATTGCTACTAGGCTTCCATCTCATTCATGCACAAGTTTACTCCAAACAAAACCTGTTTAAACATGTTTTTGCAACCAGTGACTGGATGCAGACAAGTTCTCTCAGTAATACACTGTCTTTTTCTCTTCAGCTAATGAAGAAAGTGTGTCAGAAGACTGTAGAATGAACATTGGTGAAGTTGGGACTCTCACATGATTCACATTTTCAATATTAAGGGAGCATCTTGACCTCAGCAAGCTTTGCTGGCAGGATGCCAAGAATCTTGCATGAAGATCAGAGAGCTCAAAGAGCGGATCTTTCCATCAGTCTTTTACGCAGATCAAAGCTAATGAAGGCTATTATATGGAATGAAGCATAAACAGGGGTAAGTCTTGGATTTGCCAATATGAGTCAGAGATCAAACAGTGGCTTCTGAGGGCATCTGCTGGGCCAGTTAAATTCAAAGAAGAGGTCAGCTCAGAAGATTATAGTGACTATTTTTGGGGATCCTGAGACACAGGATGATCACAGGGAATTATGATGAATTTTTCTTTAAATTGAAAACTGCATTGGTGAGAAAAAGGTCAGAGAAGTTGCACCAAGGAATTGTTTTCTATCAGGACAACGTACCTGCTCGTTTTTTTAGAGTATCAAGGACTGTCCTAAGAAAATTTTATTGGGAAATCTTACTCAATCTACCCCACAGCCCTAATCTTGCCCCTTTCAAACTTCTTTTTGTTCCCAAAACTCAAAGAATACTTAAAAGAAACATGATTTGAGTTCCTTGAGATGCCAAAACTGCCCCTTTGATGAGATGTGAATCAAAAAGCACAGAATTCTTCGGGAAAAGGTCAGAGATGGAAATCCTGCCTTCAGAAGTGTACGGACATAGATGGAAGAATAGGTCAAGAAACGGTTTCACATTTTGAAGTTTTTAACATAATAAAAGTTCCTAGGAATTTATAGCATCCTTGTATAAACCTGGGCCTTCCAGATTGTTCTGTGTAAAAATGATACCAACCACCCCTCCTATAGCACTCTCTACTCAGCCGGGTTCAAGAATTCATTGCAATGGCCACATAGAACTCAGCCACCACACTCACAGTTATGGAACTTATTAGGGGAATTAACAGGCTACAATGATGGATCAGAAATGCTCAGAACACAGTTCTTGGTCAGGACAGCCTCATCAGCTGTGCCCACAGGAGGGCCTCCTCTCTCTGGCAGTCAGCCCATGACCTGGCCTTTGTACTGCTTGAGCAATGTTACAGAGCTTTTTTAGAACAGCTGATAAATGCCCAAAGGGCACTTCATTATGCTGTAAGCCTCAGTGCAAAAGTACTAGGTCTAGCTCCTCCAGTTAAGTGCCTGGAAGCACCCTGGTCCACAAGTGAGCCTCCTGTCCAAAGGCAGTCAGTTTTACCCGTTCTCTGGGCTGGAAACCCCCCATTCTGTCTGGTATTCAGCTCTTGGGTCTGCTGCTGCTACTTCTTTGCCACTCCTCTGGTGCTACAAGCCATACAATGTGCAGAAGTCTTGGGGTCTAAAGACGTGCCCCACTTTTGGCTCTTTTTTGATGGTAGTGAGATTCCCCTTTCCTGCTCCTGAGATGGCTCCTTTTATACTCACGTTAGAGCTCCAAGTTTTCACAATTGACCATGTTGAGAATTACTCACAATGGAATCATACAATCCATCAGCATCTCATCACCTATTTTCTCTTACACAGATCCATCATGAAAAAAAAGTCATCTGGTGAAGTTTACAAAGACTATGGCTAGAACCCACCAGCTGCATTTTGGAAGTCCTCTACAGGGTCGCGGAGTCCTGGTGTGGCGCTGTGGGTTAATGTGCCAGACTGCAAAGCCATTTGAACTGCAAGGTTGGCAGTTCAAGCTTACCAGTTGCTCCTCGGAAACTCTATACAGAGTCGCTATGAGTCAAAACCGACTCGACAGATCGTAATAACAACAATAACATATAGGTCCCTATGAGTTGGAACTGACTTGATGGCAATTAACAACAACATGGCTAAAAGAGACGTTTAATAATTCCGTATCCTGCACTCTGGAATGTGGCAGCTCCATCTGATAAGCACTGGAATGCAAACTACAAGGCCTGTGATTTGAGCCTGCTAGCCACTTTGTGGGAGGAAAATGAAGCTTTCTGTTCCCTTGAAGATTTCAAAAGCTTTGGATACCCTATGTAGGTAGAAACCTACTCAATGGTACTTAAGAACATATGCCTCACTATGGCTGAAGTAGTCTTCTGTCGTACTATTATGTTGTGTGTTGTGTGCTGTCAAGCTGGTTCTGACTTACAGCGACCCTGTATAGAGTTTCCAAGGAGTGGGTTGTGAACCACTGACCTTGTGATTCACACAGCATCCTCAAGCTAATACTGTGCCCGTGATGCTGTCAGTGGTATATGCAGTGTATCTACTAGGCCTGCTATGTGCGAACACAGGGAAACCAGAAGAGTAAGTCTGCTAAAACCGTGATTTTCTTTTTACTATAGTAATTTTTATCAAAGGTACATGTAGAAGTAACATTTAACTGGAAAAAAATATTAAAGCTCTTAAAGAGTAGGTATGAGCTGGTGCAGCTCATGTGCTCATTCGGTGCAGACCTGGTATTTCTTTTGCGAAGTGGCAGCTGAGGAGACTCCGGCGCTCGCCATGGCCGACGAGAAACCCAAGGAAGGAGCCAAGACTGAGAACAATGATCATATTAATTTGAAGGTGGCGGGGCAGGATGGTTCTGTGGCGCCGTTTAAGATTAAGAGGCACACACCACTTAGTAAACTAACGAAAGCCTATTGTGAACGGCAGGGTTTGTCAATGAGGCAGATCAGTTTCCAATATGACGGGCAGCCAATCAATGAAACAGATACACCTGCACAGTTGGAAATGAAAGCTGAAGATACAATTGGTGTGTTCCAGCAGCAGACAGGAAGTGTCTTCTAAAAAGAGAGCCTGCTACTTTACTCCAGAACTCTGTTCCTACCAAGAATACATTCGCAATTAAAAAACACAATTTGGTTCCACCACATCCTGACTACTACCATATAGTTTTCTCTATTCTTTCATTTCCCCATCCCCATTCCTTTATTGTACATAACGTAATTGGTGCATGTGCACAGCATATTGCATTTTTTGTTTTGTTTGTTTTGGGTTTTTCTTTCTTTTTTACTAAAATGGCCAATGGTATGTTTTGACCAACATCAAGTGGTGACATTGTTGTTGTTAATACTGTAGAGTTGGTTCCGACTCATAGCAACCCTGCACAGGGTTTCCAAGGCTGTAAATCTTTACAGGAGCAGAAAGCCTCATCTTTTTCCCGCAGAACAGCTGGTAGTTTCAAACTGCTGACCTTGAAGTTAGCAGCCTGATTCGTAACCGCTACCCTACCAGCCATGTTTTTGTTAAGTGCCATCAAGTCAGTTCTAACTCATGGGATGGGGGAAAATACTGGTTCTGTGACAATCCCCCTTTCTCCACTAGTGGCATGCTCATTCAGCTTTTATCTTTATATTCCAAGAAGTTATTTTGCCTTCACTGTTTTAACAAAAAACAACATAAAAACTCCTTGCATACATTGTTCGATTGGAGAATTTTAATGTTTTTCATTTATCATTGTAAAACCAAGGATAATTTTATAACTTTTTTGTATGTAGCTGTTACATGTAGGGCAATCTGTTTTTTAGTAGGGCTAAAAAACTCTAAAAGAAATGAACCCTAGATAGTTTTCCCTTAAAGTCAAGCATCTTGCTATTTAAATAAATTTCTTGTTTAAAATGGTTTAAAAAAAGAGTACGTATAAGCAAAGTATGTTGTTAGTAAAAAAAATAAAATGTTATTAGTCTTCGGAAATTGAGTTTTCGAGTACAGTGTCCTTCTATACCATTGAGGGTACATTTTCAAACTTTCTAGCTTTGAGCCCTGTTTTCTCTTTTTTTTTTTTTAATATTAATTCTGAAGCTGGTATGTGAAAGTGATAAGGAAATCATACCAAACTCAAGCTGGCTTCAAAAGAGTATGTGAAACTAGAGATATCATTGCTGCCATTAAATGGATCTTGGCAGAAAGCTGAGAATACCAGAAATATACACTATTTGTACTACTACTGACTATGTGGATCATGACAAGCTATAGATAACATTAGGAAGAATAGGTATTCAAGAACACTTGATTGTGCTCATGAAGACCCTGTACATAGACCAAGAGGCAATCATTAGAATAGAAAAAAGAAAACAAAAATTTATAACAACTGGATCAATAAATAAAATCATGATAAATGGAGAAAAGATTGATCTTGTTGAATACTTCATTTTCCTTGAATCAACACTCACGGAAACAGCAGTTAAGAAATCAAATGACTTATTGCAATATGCAAATCTGTTGTGCAAGACCTCTTAAAAATGTTCAAGAGCAAAGATATCAGTTTGAGGACTGAAGTGTGCCTCATCCAAATCATGGTATTTTCAATAGCCTCATATGCATGTGGAATTTGGACAATGAATAAGGAAGATGGTAGAGGAAGTGATGCATTTGAGCTTAGGGTGTTGTGAAATATTAAAATACCAAGGACTGCCAAAAGAACAAACATGTCTGTGTTGGAAGACGCACAGCTAGAATGCTCCTTAAAGGCAAGGATGGCGAAACTTCATCTCTCATACTTTGACATGTTATCAGGTGGGACCGGTTCCTGAAGGAGAACATTATTCCAGGTAAAATGGAGTCCACTAAAAAGAGGAAGAAACACCATGGCAGCAACGATGGGTTTAAGCGTAACAACTGTGAGGATGGCATAGGATCAGGCAGTGTTGCATTCTGTTGTGCACAGTGTAGCTATGGTTGGAACTGAGTTGACGGCACCTGATGATGACGACAACAACAACAACAATAGAAAGTTCTCATGATAGCTTAATGTTTAAGGCAGACATGTTTTAGTAGCTGAGTTAAATCATTGTTTGGTTTTAAGAAGACTTCAGGGGATATTTTTGGTTTCGTTTCAAGACTACCTCAGGGCAGTAGTTTCAAGATATAGAATGTGTGGCCAATTGCCTGTATGGACTGCGTCTTTGCCCATGAGCCCAGAACTGGATAATACCTCACTACTGCTCCTGAAGATTCTGATCAAAGCCTCACAGAAGAATCTTGATCAAATGAAGGCAAATACAGAATGCAATTTCAAATGCTCAAGGACTCCAGACTTCCTGGAGCCATAAAGGTGAAGTGAACCCCAGAAACAACTGCCCAGAGATAATCATAACTTAATTTAAAAAAAAAAAGGTTTCCTTGCAGTCTTGTGATTTGTTGAATCACAACTTTACTCAGAAGTTTTAAAAGACTTACTGAACATGTTGAATATAAAAAATGTTTAACAATTCCTCACTTAAAATAGATATAAGTCAAACAAAAATCATCCAGATCTTATAATAAATGTGAAAACTCTAAGACAGTATTGTCAGGACTTGGCAGGTTACCCATCTACTTGTTACTTAACTAACCTAAGCTTGAAAGACAGCATATGCCAAGCAAATATGCCTAAACTTGCCAAATTTTTAATCAAACATGGTACACATGTGCCATAGTGGTGGACTGGCTTACACAATTTTATGTGGCTAGATAAAAGACTTCAGAGACACAAGCCATTCCTTCATAGTCTGAGATTAAAAACCTGTCTCTTAGAAATAGTACTGTGCCAAAAAGGCACTACGGGATCACTTCCAAAATCGCTGGGCTAGAAGAGACTAGTGTCTCCTATAGAGTTTTGTCTTGTGAAACAAATTACAAGATTAGGAACAATACAAAAAGAATCCCATCCTTCTCCTTTTTTCTGGAGTCATTAAGGTGGGACTGGAGGAAACAGACAAGCTAGTGCTCGTCCTGACAACATGTAACGTAGAATTGGGCTTGGGCCTGGCAATTGGGAGACACTGTATTCAGGGTTGAACCTGGGGTGTGCAGGAAGGGTAGTGCTGAAATTTGTGAAATTCGCAATTCTAAGCAATCTTTGAGTTTTGTCGTACTGTGGTGACGGAAGTTATACCACCAGTATTTTAAATAACAGCAGAGCCACCCCGGCGGACAACCTTCAGTGGAGCTTCCAGACTAAGACATACTAGAAAGAAAAAGAGAACTAATTCTGAATGTTTAGCCTCCGAAAACCTTATGGATTGTCAGATAGAGTGCTGGAAGATGAAAACACTATGAATAGCAGTAGAACATTATCCTATTAGATGAGAACCTCAGGTTGGGAGGCATTCAAAATACGACTGGAGAAGAGCTGCCTCCTCAAAGTAGAGCTAAACATGTTGATGTGAATGGAGCAAAGCTTTCGGAACTTGTATTTACCGATAGGGCACAACTCAAAATGAGGAAAAACAGCGGTTGTTGTTAAGTGTCAAGTTGGTTCTGACTCATAGCGACCCTGTATATAGAGTTTCCAAGGCTTTAAACAACTGCACACATCCATTAATAACTGAAACATGAAACGTAAGATTCAAGCATGACTACAGTTGTGAGGCTGGCACAGGACCAGGCACTGTCTCATTCTGCTGTGCTTAGGGTCGCTGTGAGTTGGAACTGACTCAGTAGCACCAGACAACAACAACAAAGCAATCTTTAATCCTCTGACCTTGTATTTCAAGTTAATCACAAGAATAAAGGAAAGGATCCTGAATCTACTTAGTATAGTTCTGTGTATCAAGCATTCCTGGAGACCAAGCCAATTACACATAAGTGAATTCTTATATGCATAACTGCAAAAAAATTATCTTACTTTGATCAGTTCTAAGAAAACTGTCCTGAAAACGCATTTCATATATCTCTGCCTTCCTTAACAGCATACTGAGCACTATTTATCATGGTCCTGATAATTTAGGGGCATCACTAACGTCAGAATTTATACTGGGACGTTAACACACAGGTTGTTGTTCTTGTTGAGTACCGTGGAGTCGGTTCCGACTCATAGTGACCCTGCACAGGGTTTCCAAGGCTGTAAATCTTTATGGGAGCAGAACGCCTCATCTTCCTCCCGCGGAGCAGCTGGTAGTTTAGAACTGCTGATCTTGAGGTTGGCCTGATTCGTAACCACTACGCTACCAGAGGAGTCTTAGGTAATTTGTGCACTGTTGGGATTTGTTTTTTTCATTTATTTATTCTTTCATTCAGTGGGTATCTGTTGTGCCGCAGTTAGCTTTTATGGGATCCAAAATTCTTCCTTAAAAAACTTCATTCAAAGTTCTTTAAAAATATTTTTGTCTATTTAAAAGCTGTAATTAAAAGCCATCTCTGTGTGTTATACCACATTCTAGCATACTGAATGAAGACCACCTAACCAATGAAGCTGTATGCTGAGCAAATAATCTGAGAAGCTGAGTTATATGAAAGAAAAAAAAAAA